TTCTCCACATTTCCATCTCTCCATCTCCACCTTTCCCCACCTTTTCTTCTCCTCCTTGCTTCCTTCTCTCTCTCTCGCTCTACCTCAGTTCTCTACGTTCAACCTCATCGTCCTCACCTTTCCTGCTTGTGTTCTAAAAACTATTCATTCAGAACTCTCTAGTCTCAAATTTAAAAAAATGGGAAAACTCCACTTAAAGGGAAAGAATGTGAGCAGGTCTGAATTCAAGGGCAGTGGTGAGTTTCTAATCACAAAAATGTAATTTCTTCCTCGTATCTTATGGTCGTTTCATCTGTGTCCGTAAACTTTCGGAAGAGACTCTGCTGATTTTGTTATTCTAGCTAAGGCTCACTTTGTCACGCGGGGAACAGTTCACATTCTGCTCTGTTGGCGATTCTCTCCACATCTTCACGTTTTTAAACGAACATACGATCAAATAGTCGTTTCACATCTGTTTCACTTGGTCTAATTAAAAATAATTTTCTGGATTTTTCGACAGAGAAAATGATGTTAAGAGCTTTTTGACTGATTGATCCAGCCTGAGCTCGGATGAAGCGTGGATGAGCATGATGGACGTCAAGGGTGATAAAATTTAAACTTTCATAGAGACAATATCAGTGATGGATCATTATCTCTCAACTTCCTCTTTAAACAACTCAACTAACAGCACCTTTAAATCAATGTCTTTCTATTCATTTGTACTGATGACTGGCCCCAACTTGACCTCATCGAACACACAGCTGCATAGAACATGAAACACACACAGTTGAGGACAGCACAGCAGGGGCATCGCATTACACCACAGTGACACACACACACACACACACACACACACACACACACACACACACACACACACACACACACACACAGACACAGAGAGAGAGAGAGAGAGAGAGAGGATCACATGTCTGGAGTAAAATTCTGTCAAAACAACCATTACTGTGGAGCTCGTCTGTCAGGATGTTGTCAGTAAGGAGGGAGATGGTAGTATACACAGTATATTCAGTAGTATACAGTATATAATGTGTGCACTGAATATACTGTATGTGTATGTAAATGTATGTGAGTCGTCTTTAAAGAGGAAAAAACTGATGGGAAAAGAATTTTGGTGAGAATCTCTTGGATATGCTTGGCTCCCACTTATCGTACAACACACTGATCTATCGCCGATGATGTGTCTTTAGGATGTAAGATGTCATGTATCCTTTTATGTATGTATAAGTATTAGCCTGATGCACTGCATCAAGACAGAGAGCACAGTTTGTCTTCTACACAAAGTTTTTGTATAAATTTTGTTTTGATGATTTGTCGTCAAAGTGTATTTCGCTTCAGGCTGAATCTAATGCTTTGAAGCTTTGGCTGTTGCCATGGTAATCCAACATCAATATTAGTTTATTATTGTATAGGTTAATCATCTCATTGTTAAAGGCACCGACACTGGACGACAACAATACTAGCTGTGCAAGAAGTCAAGCTTCTCCACGGACTGAGACAAACAGAAGAAGAAAGTTAAAATATCGACTATCAAAATAAATCAGAGGAATTTTTTTAAAGTTTGCATTTTGACATATCCAGATTAAAAATCTGAAATTTCACCATTAAAGTCTCATGCACATGCCACGATGTCACGAGAGAGAGAGACAGAGAGAAAGAGAAAGTAAAGAGAGAGAGATTGTACACTGGAGCATGAACGTCCCAAATGGTGATCCTGCTGAACAGGTGTTACAGTATCACCTCCCCCAACCACCAGCAACCACACACACTATCCACCAGCTCCAAATCAGACAGATGAAGCCAAGCCACTAGCTGATCCCTAAGTGTGTGTGTATGTGTGTGTATGTGTGTGTGTGTGTGTGTGTGTGTGTGTGTGTGTGTGTAGGGATGCATCAGAGCCCCCTGAGGTAAGTGATCCTGCTGAACAGGTGTTACAGTATCACAGTGTGTTTGTATGTGTGTGTGTGTGTGTGTGTGTGTGTGTGTGTGTGTGTCCTTCCTGTTCTTTATGTGATTAGCTGAGAAACTCTCATATATCAATTTTCACCTGAAACAATATTTTCTGATAAACAAACAAATCATTATATTAGATTAATTTTCTAATACCCAGCTGTGTTTTCTTGAGTCCAATGTTCTTCGTCCTTATTCCATCTCGTTTAAGAGACATCGACGCTCCTCTCTAGAAAACTAACGGCTGATCCTTCTGACCGTTTTCCTTTAACTTATCACACGTCACCACAGTTCAACCACTGAATCCCTATAAAAGTCACAGATGAGTAAAGACAAAATGGTAAACAAAAACAGAAAGATGTGGAGGGAGAGAGAAGATGGAGGACAGGAGATTTAAAGCAGGAAGGCAGGGGGAGAGGAGTTAAAAAGGAGGGAGAGGAGGAGAGGAGAGGGAGGTATAATGAAGTCCTCTGGGTCTCTGGTGGAAGAAGCCACAGTTCCTGCCAACACAACCTGGCCCGGTGCAGATGGCAGCGAGCAGGGATACGCTCGCTTTCAAATCAAGAAGTGGACGTTGTTTACATCTCAAAATATTTTTTTGCAATTTAAACGCCTTTTGAAAGAATTTCTGTCATACGCTGCTGATTCTGGAGCCGCCTGCACATCCAGAACCGAAGAGCTGAAGCGGACGATCACGTTCAAATCTTGCGCATGTTTGTTTGATGAACTTTAAAAAACGTCCATGTACGTGTTAGCAAACATGTTTTTAATAAACATATTTACAGTCTGATCACATTTTTCAATTACAAGAGGATTTCTTTGAATTGTAGTTTCAATGGCAATGCAAAGATATTTATACTGAATATATCAGTATTTATGTAACAGACGTATCTGTGTTTTTGTTCTGATGTAAAACATTTTTTCTATTCATAGTTTTTTGTAAGAAATGTGAAATATCAAGCCTCATTACTCAGCTGATATATCGGTATTGGAACTTTTCTTACGTAATATCTGTATCAGCATCCATATCAGTCAGGCTCTTCTCAAAATCCTGAATTAAACCCTTGTTTCAGTCGTAATCTCTTTAAAGTCAGGCAGCCACAACAACCTCCTCACTGCTGAGAGGTTTTCTGGATCAGGATAAAAAGAAATATTACCTGGTGAACAACATCATGGCTGAAAATCAAAATCATTATTCAGAAATTAAATAATCCTTTTACTTCTGGAACCCTGTGGTTGATCTCTACCTCTTTGTTTGCAATAGATGAGAGAGAAAGTGATGAATAGAATCAGTGGAGTCAAAGAGTGTGAGTGTGTAAGAAAACAGGTTACTGCTGCTGTGGAAAATACCCCCAGAGCCTCGTCATTGACAGAACAAACTGAGCGACCTCTGAAGGCTCCTACAGCCCCACTTGGACTGCCCCGCCGGCCTCGGGGTCATTGTTACTATAACGTCCCCAGATCCAGTCAGGGCTGTGGACGTGCACAGCATAGAAGAACTGTTTGTTGTTGCTCAAATATGAGAAGCCCAATCGTTGCTGAAGTTTAAACAAATTAAATTATGATATCGATGTGATCCAGTCATAAAACGTTTATAAAAATGATGCAAAGCAATGTTCTGTGTCCGCTGTCAAGTGACTACGGTTGTCGAGAGAACTCAACACATGCAAATAGAAGAAACACGTCTTCATCAATTTTACATGTGCAAATGCAGAAAAGTGAAGCAAATAGTGGAAACATCAACTGAAATGAATGTTTCCAGGGGACCCAAAAAAGTGATGAACCTGGCTGTAGTTCGATGGGAGGTTACTGAAGTCTGCTCCTCGTCAGTGGAAACAATAGCCTGAGTTAACTTGTGGGGGGTGGGGGGGGAAAGCAGTGGCCTTCAAAATGTCTGTGCATGTCCCTGGACAGACACTTGTAGTGTCATCTCCTCGTCTCCTGCCAGCGCTCTACTGTCCGTCCAAAACCTCCACGAAACTAATCGTTTGATTTTGCACATTTTTACCAGGACTTAACGCCAGGCCAGATAAAAGTGTTCCAGGTTGTAACAGCAGCAGAACGAGCCGTCTCAACAATTACCGCTTTTTTCCGCTGCCTGGCCACCGGCCGCCCATATATGGTCAGTAGTAATTAGAGAGACGGAGCAGGAGAGTCATTTCCTCTCCCTTCTGGTTGCATGGTGCTTAAGCCTTCATAGTGCTGACATCAGCACTCAGCTGTGACTGTAACACACACACACACACACACACACACACACACACACACACACACACAGTCCTGTCTTCATGACTTCAGATTGGATTTACTTTAATGTCCCAGAGACGTGCTTCTTACATTTCAACTTGAAATGTAATGATTTATATTATGAGATCTTCCCATAAGGAAGCTAAGTCTCCATAATGTGGCTGTGTAACAAGATTTAGGTCCCCACAACACCAGTAGGCCTAATCCCTCACACACACTCAGGTCACTAACGGGTTGGAGCTAAATTCAAGATGCATCTTAATCATCAGCGTGATTGTCGGTGTCATGACAACCACCATCATCATCGTCAACATCCATCTTTCATTCCATCAATGGCCGTCCAGCCTGAGGCCGGCGGGTCTGGAGGCTGGACGATTGTGTAATGAATCAGTCAACAGCACACGGACGCACAAACATACCAACACACCATACACCGAGCGTGGAGAAACACTGAGGCCTAGCTTAACATCTCACTACACAATATTGCAAAGAGAAAACCACACAGACACTAAACACAACTTTCATCCTGCAGGTGCTTGTTCAACACCAAACCACTCCACACCAGAGTAAAGGCCACACACACACACACACACACACACTACACAGAAAGAATAAAGACACAAAAAGGCTTAGTTTAACATCTCACAACACAAGAAAAGAAAACACACACAACTTCCATCCTGCAGGTTTCATTTCAACACCAAACCTCTACACATCAGACTAGGCCATGCACCAGCACACACACAGACACACACAGACACACACAGTACCTTAGGCTGGCTCCTCAGCAGCTTATGAAAGGATATGGCCATTCGGTGATCTTTTTGGCGTATTTCCTCACCAGGTTGTCTTCGCTGAAGAGGAAGAGGGAGCGGTTGACCGTGAGGCAGCTCTGCCGGACGGGTATGGGGTTGTACAGGGCCATGGTCCGGGCTCTCTGGGCCATCGACTGCTTGTACACCCGCGGCGCTCCAGGGGGCCCCCCTTGCCTGCTACCGCCGCGGCCGGGCCCCCCTTGTCCGCCGGCACCCCCGCCACCGCCGCCACCACCTCCTCCTCCTCCTCCACCTCCATACCTGTTGGGCACCTCGTCTCCAAAACGCGCCATTCTGCAGACACCAAACGCCAGAGGTTAGGAAGGAGCCGGGGGGGAACCTCAGAGTGACACCTCCACATGCCACCACCCCATCAGCCTCGGCTCCGGACGCACATGCAGAATGGAGTTTGGCACGGTTCTCTCTCTGTGTCTCTGTCCTCCTCCTGTCTATCTGTGTCTCCTTCCCAGATCTTCAGCGCCGAGAAGATACCTCCATTTGAGTGTGGAGAGGAGGGAGGGAGGGAGGGAGGGAGGAGGAGAGCGAGAGGGGAGGGAGAGGAGAGGGAGAGGAGAGGGAAAGCGCACGGTGTCTCTGATCGTGCGTTTGGAATATGAATGGGGGGGGGGGGGATGTGTTTATTTAATTTCTGCCAAATTAATTCAATGATAGAGGAGAAGAAAAAAACGCCGCTGGTTTTATTGTTGGATGAGAAAACTGCCCCAAAAACCGCATCAGCGTTTTCCTCTCAGTGGAAAATGAAGGCATCCTGTTTTCTCCACGTTTCGTTTTTTCGGTCGGGAAAATGCCTCTCCAGGAGTGAACCGCTTCTGGCATTTCAATCTGCAAACAAATCGATCACCTCGGATTCATGCGTAAAAGATGCATAGCTGTGCGTTTTAAATAAATATTGCAATCATCTCCTCTAAGTAGCTACAGCAGGAGACTGCGTCTTTTTTTTCTCTGCCTCTCTACAGCCTATAGTGCATCTTGACAGGATCTGCAGTTGTCTTGTTTCCCTCCTTCTCCCAGGTCCCCTCTTTTTTTCCCCCCTGCGAGATAAAAATAGAAATAGATAGGAGTGAAATCTTCAATAATTCATTTTTTCTTCTTGTGCCATATATCCGCAATGTTTGGCGCGGCGCGGCGGGTGCCACTTCTCACGGCCACCGCGCCACTCGGGTTACACGCAAACGCCAGCCGAGGGGGGCTTCCCCAAAATCCGAGCCCGGTGACATTTGTTGATATTTGGTGATGGACGGTGCGGCATCCCCCTCCTCCTCCTCCTCCTCTTCCTCCCCCTCCTCCTCACCAAGGCGTCGCTCACTGATTTTGGGCGTGATTGCGCGCACTTGGAGTCGAAAATCCACCGGTGCTCAATCTACCAATTTCCCACCCCCCCTTCCCTCCGGGGAGAGAGAAAGAAAATCAGAGTGAATGAAATGAAAAGAAAATGAATGTCCACATCAATCATCTATAATCCAAGGTGTGGAGAAGAAGAATCCCGGACGAGTAGGATCCGGAGGAGCAGAAACAGACCACTGGGGGAGGCGGTATCATCACCATCATCAATTCTTGGTCGGAAAACACGACGGCGGCTGTGCGGGTGCGTTTAAACAGCGGCTCGCATCGTCTTCTCCTCCGCCACCGGTAAGAAACCGTGCACCCTCCCCGCCCAGCAGCATCGCCCCCGAGGCTCCCCGAACCAGAGAGAGGCGGTCAACCCCGCAGAGCCCCAGAAAGTCCAGCTCCTCTCTCTCTCTCTCTACTCCCCCCTCTCTCTGTTTTTTCTCTCGACCCCCCAAGGGGACGTGAGTCAACGCGCAGTCGGTCCTGAGGCTGTATTCCCGTTAAAGATCAGCCGTGGAAAAACGGAGGACACCCGACGAGCGGAGCTGCTTCTCCGGCTCTTTTGCGTCCGGTCAGCCGTCGGGGTTGAGCCGCGCGCTGAGCATCTGATCGCTCTGACGGGAACCGAGCGCCGCGCGCAGATCCGTGGCCAAGCCTTGCAGCGCACGACGCACGGCGCCTCCCCGGAGCCTCCCCCACTCCAACCCACTCCCCATAGCGCACGACGGAGATGTATGGGCGTCAGTTGGGTATATGGCACAGCAGCTCCAGCCTTATACCTTCAGCAAGAGAGGGAAGCTCAATCCAACTTTACAGTCATCAGAGCCTCAAGTAAAAACTGGCGAATGTGGTTGGAGGCTCTCATTATGTTTGGTTTGGATTAATAGTTTATTGTCCCCTTTATTAATCATCACAGAAGTTGCTGATGATTATTAGAATATTATACATTGAACGAATTGGAGCCACTTGAGAGTCAATTACACAACAGCAGAGTTCAAATCGCCCCATTCACTGTTTACTCAAACCCAACAGGAGCACAGGGGCCACACAGAGGAGATGGGGGGTGAATATAAACAAGAAAGGGTTTGGAATTGTTTCTGATTAAGCCCGAAATAGGATTCAGGGGCCACATGGTTTGTGGGCCTCATTTGGTTTGTTAACGTGGGTTTAATAGTTTATTGGATTAGATTTAGCTTGAGGCCACTAGAGAAGAAGTTGCCTGCAGCTTTCTGACCCATGCACCAACAGCACAGTCCAAATCTTCACATTCACTGTGTCCTCAAACCCAGAATCAGGCTGTGGGAGGAGCACAGAAGATGCAGAGAGGAGATGAGGGGGTGGACATGTACAAGAAATGGTAAAAGAAATAAATGTGGTTTCTGGTGAAACCCAAAATAAGATTCAGGGGCCACTTTTGGTCCCCAGAGGATTTACAGGGATCCTCACAGAAAAATGACAAATAATTTCTGTCAGTATTTGTTGGAGAGGTGTAGAGGGATGATTACTTTAGGTGATTACTTCCCAATGATCTTACTTTTATCCTCCATCTGACAGTACAGACATGTTACATAAAGCTAAATCTAACAATTCACAGAGATTGAGTCAAGAAGAAAACCGTCCTCGTGTTTAGCTTGACTGTGTAACTCTGAGCCAATTGTGGACTGTGAATAGAGTTTTATCGATGATTCTATTTTAGTTTTCTTTAAAATGTATGAGAAAAAAAAAATGTTTTTACCAATGAATAAGTTGGACCAACATTTTGTCTGCACGGCCAGGAGGGAGCGAGGAGAGGCTTTTGAGGACACTGTCTTTTGAGGACAGTTTGAAAGAGTTTTTCTCTGCCTTCACTCGTCCCCTCTCCTCCAAGCCGTCTGTCAGTCTGGCTCTGGCATCTGAGTCGTCTTTGATGCAGTTCAGCAAGCTGTTTTCCTGGGCTGAACCAACCAAGCTGTCACCTCTCCAGCACAGAGAAATGAAGGTGCATGGAGATGGGAAGTGAAGAACCCACAGGAACACGCTGCCCAGAGAATCCCTTTCAAACTGGTTCTTTTAGACATTTTCTACATAAACAAACGAGGAGGAAGTTAAAAGATTTTTTAAAAACACAGGTTTTGGCCTCTTAACATATTGTCGCTGTCCTTGATGCTGAAACAGCCACTGATATTTTTCCAAGGCCTTTTTTGTCTCTGTCCAAAGTTCTGAAACACGAGTGTGAGGCTCTGTTCGCCACCTGCGCGTCTTTGGAAGAGATTATCTCCATTGTGCATCAGGGTGGGTTCCTGTACCTCCGGCCATCTGTTCAACGCTGAGACGTGTTTGCTAGTTCTGCCGTTTGCCTCCTCCATCAGCCACTTTGGCAGGTAACCACCCATCGTTAGCAGTTCTGATCGGTGGAATACTCAAACTGAGCCATATGGTGGATTCTGGGATGGATCTGAAGGCAAACGGCACGACTGCGAGGAAGTCAACAAAGTCTCACAAAACTTTGTGATGGGGACTAACCTGGTGCGAAAAGGAACAATCAAAATCATGGCTTTTTTTAAACTGTTTTGAAAAGTGCTGCAAAAATAAAGTTATTATCAACATTGTCAAATCCATTTCTAGTCTCTTCTTCTTTATGTTGCTCTCAAATAAATCTCAACACATTTCCTGCAGATAAAGAGTTTATCTTCTATAAGAGCTCTGACTGGACTCAACCGTTTCCCTGAGGTCACATGTTGTGTTCAACCCCCTCCGCTGCAGCTGTCTCAGGGCTATGCTATTATTTACAAGACGCCTTCTCAACGTCATAACGTGTGTGCATCACCGGACCTGCTCGTCATTCGATTCCCGTAGACTAGTGGCCACTAACAGGCCTGATAAAAGCCCGTTCCCGCTGACAGCATGGGAGAGAGAGAGCGAGGGAGAGAGAGAGTGAAAGTGAGTGTCGGGAAGAGGTGGGTGGTGGAGAGATGGTGGGGGTGGTGGCGGAGGACAAGCCTGCCTGTGATGTGTGCGATCACGGGAAACCACGCAGTGGTCGGATGCCAGAAATGACAAGCTGCCACCCCCCCCCCCCCCCCCCCCCCCATCAGTTATTGGTAATGAGGAGAAGAAGGTGAAGGCCGCAGATATTTTGCTCATTTTTCGCCTTCGTTTCCCTTTTTTTAAAAATATTTTACAGACTGGCATGTTTCTGCTGCTGCTACATGCCCATACATCTCTCCCTGTGTGTGTGTGTGTGTGTGTGTGTGTGTGTGTGTGTGTGTGTGTGTGTGTGCTGCTGAGAGAGTCGTGCTGAGGCCCTGATGCGCAGCATTGTCATTCAGGGTGCATTCACACAGGCAACCCCCGCAGGAAGCCCTGGCACCTCCCACTTGAAATGACGCCCCCCCCACTCCCCCCTCTTCCCCCCCTCCCCCCCCCCCCTTCCTCCCTCTCTGATCTCACTCAGCAGGCCGCAGCTACAGAGCTGCTGAGAAGTAGAGAGACAGAGAGACAACGCAGCAGGGTTCAGGCCAATTCACGTTCAAACACATGAGAATCGACATTAGAGCTGCTGTCAGACCTGCAGGGAACTCCGGTTAATCTCCCAATATTATCCGAAGGGGCTGTGGATATTCTGCGGAGTTTCTCCCACCAGCACCCTGGTAAAATGTCCAGATAACGTCTGAGAGTACAGCAGGAGATTATACAGAAGATTCACCACAAACAAGTCGGCATATCTCAGGATGAATAAGAGGCGCCATATAGACGCCACCGATATTTGCACCAGAATTTTTACGTCATGTCCTCCCTCCCTCTGCTCTACCCAGGCTCCTCCCCTTCTCTGAATGTTACTGACGTTTTCCTGTTGTTGTGAACGTGTCTGACCTGGACAATCTCCTGCTGCGTTGTTCTTATGTGAAAGATGAACTCTGGAAAATGTCCGTGTGTGAGAACACAGCAGAAGATTACCCAGAGGA